GTTTTTAATTATATATTAGAAAGAAGTCTGTTTTTAATTACATATTAGAAAGAACTCTGTTTTTAATTATATATTAGAAAGAAGTCTGTTTTTAATTACATATTAGAAAGAACTCTGTTTTTTAATTATATATTAGAAAGAACTCTGTTTTTAATTATATATTAGAAAGAAATATATATCAACAAAATCTTCACTTCCCATAATATATAGAGCATTTCTACATAATTTGTCCTCCATTTTCTCTTCTGGACATTTTAATGGCCTTTCTTGCGCACTAACGCAAACGAATTTCTTTCTTTTTCAAATAAAAAAGTTTTTTGTAAAGAGTGTTATAGAAAATTTATTAGAGAATATTTTTTGTGCAAAACGATTTTCCTTGTCTTTATGTTAATATGACTAGATTACATTGATTAATATGACCAAGTCATAACGATTTCTGATGGTTCGGTACCCGACCTTAGAATTTTGGGTAACATTCAAGCCCGAACCTTATTTTTGACTATGAACAACAATCTCAAAATGCCTGTTTTGCACCTGTCGTGACTAAATGAAACTAAATTCTTATAATGTCACCATTATTCATTGTCGCCCCCCAAATATCTTCAAACACGTAACCTAAAGTTAACATGAGTTCTTGAAGACTGTCAATAAAAGGCATTTTTTTGTTTATTTTATCTCAGTTGGGCTCCAGCTTTTCTTAACCGGGGTGGAGGGTTGGAGATAGGGTGGGGACAATGAGACACACAATAGAGCCAATTATATAATAAATATAACCTTATGGACAGCATTAGCTTGGAGTACACTTCAGGGGGCACTCCCCCCTCCGATAGTGCCATCTCCCATCATTATGTCCTCAATTTTTATGAAACAAATTTGGTTACTTTATTATATTTTCATAATATTTCTGTTTTACTTACGTTACAGCCTAAAATGTGTGGTTATAATAATAAGCAATAAAGTAAAAATGATGCATTTTGCAATTATACCTATTTCTAAAGTTCAGTACTGCTTGCTGTGGTAGTGAACCGATAATTTTAAAATTTTGATTTTATATTTCGAACGTTCACCTACTTCAAAATCTAACTTTTTACTTTCAGTTTACAGGCTCTGCTTCCTGGTTGCTCAGTTCTTTCCGTGACAGGAATTTAGTTGCTAAAGAAAAGTTAACTTTCTTCAACTGAGGTGTTCAGGGATATTATTATTCCCCTTCGCCCCGCTCGTGGCAATTTTATTTGTTATATTCGTGAGTTTTTATAATATTGTTGGAGAGGTTTGTTGTACTTTTGACTAGTGGTATTTAAAAAGTGAGCCGGAGAAGTAGAGAGAAAGATGTCCGGTGGGTTCCAGGGCAGAAAAGAAACTAAGGGTGTAGAGGTGGTGTTCTAGAGAAGAAGGAAGGCGACGAACGTTCGACAGAACAATCAACAAACTTCCCATGATCAGGGTCACGGGGTGGCTGGAATCTATAAATCCCAGTGCCTTCGAATTTGCTGTGAGGGGAAACGGGAATACATTGAGAAAACCCACTTTCACAAAACAGGCGCTGAACATACTACCTGTCTGAAATATATAAACACAAGAAATGATTAGTTGAACATAGCTTTAAATTTTTATCAGAGGTTGTTTTAGGGTGTTTTGAATGCAATGTATATGTGTTATAAATATTGTTACATCTCCGTTCGTTAGTTGATTTTCTGTAACTTCGTTCCGACGAAACTTTAGCGACACAAGTCCTCTCTTAAATAAAACTGGTTTATTCTTTCCGAATACAACTTTACGATACACTTAATTTCAACAGTCGCGCTATAACAAACGCTATATGTCACGTGGCCAACAATATTTTGTCGCATACATTCAATTACTCATTACACTGTTGTCCCCGTCACGTTGTGAGCGTCTTAAATATATATATACCAGACTAACACATATCTAGTCTCCCGATAATTCCCGAAGGTTCGAGACGGACGTGGCGTGATACTAGTCACATGACCTCGCTGACGCAACACTGCCCCCTCCTTAGTATTGTTCGTCCCGAACAATAGCCACATACAATAAACCAATAACAATAACTTAATTCAAATGTACAGAATTACAAACACAGAATTACAATTCAACAAAGTCTCTTAATTTTACGGGACGTATCTTCTTCCGTACTGGACTCCGTCTCGTTGGCTTCTGCTTCACGTGGAGTTCATCTGCTTCATCAGGAAATGTCCTATCGTCAGTAACAGTCACATCAGTGGTAGTAGCTTCATCAAGAGCTTCACCATTTCCCTTCTCAAAACTGAGTAGAGTTTCTTCTTCGATGGTGGCTTCTCCACGAGGCACGTCTTCAGCAGCGCCATTTGTTCTGTTGTCCACTTTGTCCCAACTGAAATGTCTTGGACAGTGATAACGCCAAAGCCTGTTGGCATGCACCACTTTTGGCTTACCTCGCCGACCACATTTTATTGGAAAGTCACGTCTGAGAGACAATCCGCTATGTCATATGGGCCTTCTCATGGAGAAGACAACTTAAGAGACTTCCCTTTGGTCTTACTGGGATTATATAACCACACCTTGTCTCCTGGTACAAAGCTGACTTCAGTAGATCTCTTATCATAAGTTAACTTCATCGAATCACCAGACGTTTTCAAGTTTGAATGCACTTGATGGTGAATATCATCCATCCTTTCCGGTAACACTTTCGCAAACTCCAACATATTCACAGGAAACTCTTCATAAGGTGGGCGTCCCTTATGCTTGGGTCCCCTTTTAGCACTACATGTACTGCATGTCCTGCACCATTCTTCCACATCTCGCCTCATACCTATCCAGTAAAATATTTGTCGTATGTGACTCAATGTCTTCTTGATTCCCAGATGTCCTCCTGTTAAATTATTATGGGATTGACGCAGCCCAACTTCCCGTAACTTCCTCGGTATAACTGTTTGCCAAGTCGTCACTTTCCCATCTTTAGTTTCCCATCTCCGGAGAAGAATACCATCTTCAAGCTTTAACTGGTCCCATTGTGCCAAATAGTGCTTTGTCACAGGGTTTAGACTAG